AGCCCCATTTTCATGAGTTAGTTTTTACCTTCCGCAATATGCGCACAAATTGTGCTTCCTTTAAACTGATACGTCAAGGGCTGTACGTGCCCTTATAGCACAGTTACACGCGTTCCGTCCAACGTCAAGGTGTCGATATCATCGGCAATCTGCGATTCACTAAAGCCGGTCGCAGGTTCATACCTATTAAGGTGGGCTATTTCACCAAATAGATTGAAGCCGCATCGCTACTGCAGTAACTGCACTATTAGCTGATTGTATGTGTCGCGTTTCCTGCCTATTAATATCAGCTTCGATTAGGGGAATCATTTCTAAATTAAGTGTTTGCAAAGTTCTTCACAGTTCGCAAGACGCAAGGACTTCTGATGTATCCAGTAGTACGCTGGACCATCTTCTGAAGCATATTGCCAAGCACAAACATTCACACGATTGGTTCAGATGTCTTCCGCGCAATGCTAAGGACAAAATTTTCCATGAATCATGTACAATTCAATATGCTAACCGGACATTACTTGCGTCAATCGGTTGACTCAAGCGGACATTCACCGTTTTTGATGAAGATTGCTTCACGAAACTCTTTGGTACTTTCATAAGGCCACGTCGTCAATACGCGATTCAAGCCTGGAGACCGTGGATGCGACAGGATTATAACGTACTCGAAAAGGCGCAGCAGTGGGCCACAAAATTAGTGAGAGGCCAAGATGCACTGCCATATGATAGCCGCTTAGATAACCTTAATCTCTATTCTCTAAGTTATAGGCAGTTACACGGAGATTTGATACAAACCTTCCATATCATGGGTGGCTTGGACTGCGTTCTCATATGTGACGACTTTTTCCAACTCGCCACTATAACTAATCTCCGGGGTCATCCCTTCAAACTGTATGTGCCCCAAGGACGATTAGATGTGAGGAAGAATTTTTTTTCTAACCGGGTTGTGGACCCGTGTAATAACCTACCTGAGGCGATCGATATGTCCCGATCTATGGAAACATACACACACAGACTTTTTATTTCTACGTTACAGCACAAAGTGAACTATGTGGCACTAATGCATGATGTGACCCCGTTTGCATTTTCCTGACTGAAAACTTTTTTACATTGGTTCTAATTCTTTAGATTTTGATGTGATAAATAGGGAGTCCGCCCACAGACAAAGCCGT